GATCACATCATCGCTGTTTTGCTCTTTTAGTTTGGAGTTTACACACAGTAACTTTGGAACCATCTCCTGGGATCTCAGACTAGTTCAATATTTACACAACTCACTCTACAAATGTCTGATTTTAGGTATTTGCCAGTTGATTTCTCTTTATTGGAATAAAGTTCGACTGAGAAACTGCAATGTTTTTACCTAGGGATAAGGGTGGATCCTTTATAAACAAGAACAAATGTCCAGTATAGCTGATTTGTAGTCATAGTAAACAATATGTTTCTGTTATAATAATGGCACATCAGAGGCACAAATTAACCCCCATTTACTGTGTGTCATAAAAGACAGAATAGTTACATAAACAGACATTTGGTGCAATTAATGTTCTTGTTAGAAAATAACCGATTTCCCTTCTTAATCTGATGTTTATATTCCTTAATAATGTTTGGCTGGACCTTACGTTCATTGTAAGCCAAATATGTTGTCATAAATTTATTTATTTGACATAAAATTCTGATTGAAATCATCACTTTTCTCAAGTAGGAAGCATAATTGAATAATTTGTGTGAAAAAAAACCAATTAGGTGAATGAATATATTTTCACAATGTGTGCCTGATTAGTATAGCTATATTAGTGGAGGAATCATTTTTCTGGCTATGTCCACTTTCACTAGAGACTTGGTTTTAATAACATTAAAATATATAAAGGGAATCAACACAGTAAAGGAGGAGACTATAATTAAAAGAAGAAAAACTACCACAACAATTTAAGACAGTCTTAAATTAGAGGGACAAAGGTTTAAAAATAATATCAGGAAGTATTACTTTACTGAGAGGGTAGTGGATGCATGGAATAGCCTTCCAGCTGAAGTGGTAGAGGTTAACATAGTGAAGGAGTTTAAGCATGCGTGGGATAGGCATAAGGCTATCCTAACTATAAGATAAGGCCATGGACTAATGAAAGTATTTAGAAAATTGGGCAGACTAGATGGGCCGAATGGTTCTTATCTGCCGTCACATTCTATTAGTGGGCCTGTAAATTCCATTATCACAGTACATGGAGAATTAATGAACTATTTCAATTTTACCCATCACAATCTGAAAGAGGGCATACTCAACACCTGGATCTCCATCCAAGATATCAGGAGATGCTGAAAATAATGTTTTTATTCCTGCCCTATACACTACTACATAAACATGGTCCCATTCTTGAATAAGAGGAGGTCCAAGGAAACCCTACATTGATTAAATAATCACTCTAAGTGTGGGTAGCAGTCATATTCAGGGATAATAAGGAATGTTATGCCAAGGCT